TGGAGAGGTTGCCAAGCTCAACTTTAAGCTGGCAGCAAGTTAGGGGAGGGTGGTGGTGAGGGAAGGGGAGGTGGTGGGAAGGGGAGGTGAAGGGAAGGGGAGGTGTGGTGAGGAAGGAGGGGTGGTGAAGGAAGGGGAGGGTGGTGAAGGGGTAGGAAGGAAGGGGGGGAGGAGGGAGGTGGGAAGGAGAGAAGAGGGGGTAGAAAGAGGAGGGAAGAAGGAGAAGAGGGGAAGAAGGGGAAATTGAAGGGGAGGGGAAGGAAAAGAGGAAGAGGAAGGGAAGGGTTATGGAAAGGAAAAGAGAAGGGCAGGAGAGAGGAGGGAGGAAGGGATGAGGAGAGAGGAATGGGAAGGAAAGGAAATGGAAAATAGAAAGAGAGAATAAAGAGAGGAGACGCGTTAGATGTTATGGAAACGGGAAAGAGAGAGAGAGAGAGAGAGAGAGAGAGAGAGAGAGAGAGAGAGAGAGAGAGAGAGAGAGAGAGAGAGAGAGAGAGAGAGAGAGAGAGAGAGAGAAAATCCCACTTAGTGAAAGATAGAAGATTCCACAGACAGGGAAAGCAAAGTTCGTATTTAGAAAGGAAATAAAAGTTACTACACAGAGAAAAAGAAAGTTACCACACAGAAAGTAAGTACCAATGATATAGAAAGTTTCACTGAGAGAAAGAATGAAACTTCAGACTGAGAAATGACTATTAAGTTCCCAGAGAGAGAGAGAGAGAGAGAGAGAGAGAGAGAGAGAGAGAGAGAAATATACCTGCCTAGCAACCAATAATTCTACTGGCCTCTGCTTCAACACTTTCCTCCCTGTCTAAGTCACTTTTCACAATGTTTCGTATATATTATTTTACGAAACCTCTGAGCTGCGTAACAAACATGTATCATAGTGTTCAATCGCATGGCTACTGTGCACCACCATCACCATCATCATCATCATCATCATCATCATCATCATCATCATCATCATCATAATAATAATAATAATAATAAATACAAGATCATCAACAACAACAACAACAAGAAAACTTAAATTAATTCGTATGACAATTACCTAAACTTGATGAACCAAACTTTATCGACTTCCGCAAGAATCTCACAGGAAGAATTTTTCTCATAAACAACTGCTTAGAATCTTTACGTAATCTTTTAAACAAGGAAGCAAGAGACAGAGATAGGCGGAAAGAAAAAAGTAGAGAGAGAGAGAGAGAGAGAGAGAGAGAGAGAGAGAGAGAGAGAGAGAGAGGCGAGAAGAGAGAGAGAGAGAGAGAGAGAGAGAGAGAGAGAGAGAGAGACGGGGAGAAAAGAAGAAGAGAGAGAGAGAGAGAGAGAGAGAGAGAGAGAGAGAGAGAGAGAGAGAGAGAGAGAACAATTATAAAGAAAAAGATAGTCACACACACACACACACACACACACACACACACACACACACACACACACACACACACACACACACACACACACACACACACACACACACACACACACACACACACACACACACACACACACACCCACCCACCCACACACACACACACACACACACACACACACACACACACACACACACACACACACACACACACACACACACACACACACACACACACACACACACACACACACACACACACCCACACCCACCCGAAACAAACTTATCTCCTAATAATCTTTTCACCTTATCCTCACCAACAAAAGCTATGTGTATTCAACCTAAGATACTTCAGTAATCTAGATCAAAGGCAGGTATTTAATTACCTAATTACAGAACTTTAATTACTATTGATCTTCAGGTAATAACAGGTAAGCTGGTTATTATAATAGCATTTTAGGTGAGTAATTACAGTAAGTATAATACAGGAGGGACTAATCTTGTATTCTCGTGTAAGTAAAGCTGTATTTGCGTATTATGTTCAGTGTTGTGAGTGACGGTGGTGAACACTGGATCGTGAGGGTGATACTGTGTTTGTGTCCAGAGAGAGAGAGAGAGAGAGAGAGAGAGAGAGAGAGAGAGAGAGAGAGAGAGAGAGAGAGAGAGAGAGAGAGTTATATCATAAAACTGTAGAAAAACAAAACACAGAACAGATTCAGTGTAAAAAAACCGCCCTTAAAAACAACTTTCATGACCACAACATAAACACCCTTTGGCCTATTTCACTCTATGCGATTGTTCGCCGCACCGAGATACAGTCACCGCACCTAGATGCGGTCGCCGCACCGGAGACACCACGGTTTTCTGCTGTACATTCGTCCGGCTGCCGCGTACAGCGACCCAACTTTGGACTCTTGTCTACAGTTTGCAGTGAGCAGTGAACACGGTACCGGACAAGTCCAGTGGGACGCCGCATATGCAATCCGGCGTCGGACCGGCGAATTCGCCGCAACCGCATAGTGTGAAGAGGTACAGTCACCCACAAAAGTCCTGTTGCCTCTCTTCCTGAACTATGAACCCCGAGATTCTGAATCGTGAATCCGAAGCATTTATGGACAGAAAATTCCATTAGTGTTTACTGCTTTGGTTTCACTTGATTAAATCTTGGGCTCGTGGAACAGCAGGAGAGCCGACAGGACTTTTGTGGCTGACTGTACATTAGAACTATCAGTCGACTGCTATGTCCGGCACCGCACCGTATCTAGATGTGGCGAGAAACCGCATAGTGTGAAAGGGGCCTTACGAAAACAAGTGAATTTGAAGAGGGTGTGAGAAGAGGAAGGAGGACGAAGAGAAGGAGGAGGAAGACGAGGAACACTAGCAGGTAGTCGACGGAGCAGGAGAAAGCACTTGAGGTTGTGCATGATTAACGTTGTCACCAGCTCGAGGGTAAACAAATTAGTGGGTGTCACCCGAAGATACTTAAACACAAACACACCACACACACACACACACACCCACACACACACACACACACACACACACACACACACCACACACACACCCACACCCACACACCCACACCCACACACACCCACACCCACACACACGCACACACCCACACCCACACACACACACACACACACACACACACACACCCACACCCACACACACACACACACACACACACACACACACACACACAACCCTCGGCGGTGTTCTCCCAACTTTACTCTCTTGCTTAAAACAACATGGGAGGTAAACAAAACATGAGATGTAAACAAAGCAACATGAGAGATAGACAAAACAAAACAAAACAAACAATTCATAGTCTCCCCAGGATAAAGTAAGTCCGTCAAGTACAAATTCTTTCAAATTAATCAGTGGATTTTATGTTGGCCAACCAAGCAATCAGTGAGTCAGTTAGCCAATCAGTTACCCAGTCAGTTAGTCAGTCAACCAGTCAGTCAGTTAGTTAGCCAGTCAATCAATCAACCAGTCAGCCAGAGACAGAAAGGGACAGTCGTTGCTGGGGAGGGGTGAGACACGAGCCTGGAGCCACACTGGCAGGGAGGCGTCTGAACATTCCTCAAACACGGGGTAAGTGAAGGAGTGTCGTGTACAGCCTCTGTTGTCACCAGGATAATAGATTATTGTCACCGGGATAACTAACGTACCGCTGTCACCAAGATAACGTACCGCTGTCACCAAGATAACGTACCGCTGTCACCAAAATAACGTGCCGCTGTCACCAAGATAACGTACCGCTGTCACCAAGATAACGTACCGCTGTCAACAAGATAACGTACCGCTGTCACCAAGATAACGTACCGCTGTCACCAAGATAACGTACCGCTGTCACCAAGATAACGTACCGCTGTCACCAAGATAACGCCTGTCAACAAGATAACCCGCTGTCACAAGATAACGTGCCGCTGTCACCAAGATAACGTACCGCTGTCAACAAGATAACGTACCGCTGTCACCAAGATAACGTACCGCTGTCACCAAGATAACGTACCGCTGTCACCAAGATAACGTACCGCTGTCACCAAGATAACGTACCGCTGTCACCAAGATAACGTACCGCTGTCACCAAGATAACGTACCGCTGTCACCAAAATAACGTACCACGGTCAACAGGAATACAGTGCCCATCTTCACAGAGTTTAGACTAAGATACAGTACTTGGCCATCATGTAAATGTCTTCAGATAAAATGTATTTTGTATTATTCATGTAACTTCCCCGTCACCGCCTCCTGCAGTAGTGATGAGATGGAACGCCTCCTCTGTCTTGGGACCTTCACACTCCTTATATCAAAGTTAAGGTTCACCAACTATAACTGAGTTATTCCAGTGCGGTAATAGCTAGGCCAGCACGAGCAGTCAACAACGCCGGTGCAGGTTTATATTATTAGCTATGCCAGCGCGGGCAGTCAACAGCGCCAGTGCAGAATCTATATACGGCTAGAGCCAGTACTGGAATACTTACGCCACCGCGAGCTATCAGTATCGCAGGACCTCATACCCCGTTCGCCTATGCTATGGGAACTACAGTACGCCAGACGAACATTCGCTTGTGTTCTGGTAGAGGTGGCGTTCAATATGACACACACACTAACACTCAGGGTGGAGTAGTGGTTATATAACTCAATTAGTAGTCAAGTAGTCCCTCGTTCGAATCCTCTATTTAAGAGTTTTAAATTGTTTTTGATAAACAGCTTGAACAAGAAGCCAAGAACTTAAAAAAAAAATCCGACGGACTTGTAAATATTCAGGTGTAAACAAGATGACTACAGAGGATTAGGGTCACCCATAACACACACACACACACACACACACACACACACACACACACACACACACACACATGAACGGACAAACACAAACGAAAACACATCCACACTGACGGACAAACACACAGACGGGACATACACACCCAATGACTTCCCATAAGAACACAATTTACACACTGATAAGCATATACAAAAACTGTGAACTGATATCACCGTCTTATCTCAACTACTTGTTGATAAGCATATGAACCACACGGTATATAGTATATATTTAACACTGGATATACTCTCTCTCTCTCTCGTGATTAGCATGTCATTGTCATAGTTCGCTTACCTTATAAACGTTGTGGTAGGCGACGTCTGCGGAGCGTAGTCAAAACGATGGCTGTGATTGGGTGGTGGAGACGCAAGATCGTGGCCGTGATTGGTCAATGGGGATGGCACCGCTCCCCCCGCAAGTGACGTCACAGGCAAGCTCATCATCATTTTGAACTAATTTTAATGAAGTATTGTTTCAGTCTTCCCTGTGGTCTTGGGTGTTTTTTTTCCCAGTAGAGCAATATCCTTAAATACTAAAATACCCTGTACTTTCCTAATATTTTTTTTTTAAGTGACAGCTAAGCAACAGATCACATAGAGGCGACGTTCCCACCGACACGCTACAAGACAACACCCGTATGTGCGTGAGCCCTGAGATCCTCCTGGTGCCTGGTGCTCTCACGTTCGTCCTGGGAGAAAAAAGAAAACAAGAAAAAAGTCGATTTAATGGTTATAGTAATATTATTTTTAAGCGATTTATTATTATTATACATGGAATAAACGTAATGAAATATATGTTAAATAATTGAAATATGAAGTCTATTACACATCACCTTACATCACATTAAACAAGAACTCATAACAATTAATTTTTGTTTTTCTCTAAATGTCAAACAAGTCCCACGATTTTTTGGAGAGCATATGTAAATGAGCCGTCAATTAAGAGTTAATCTGACGTTGATTCTGAATAAATTAGATCACCAGACACACAATTTAATACAACACAACACACAGGTACACGAGTGGATTATACAAACACCGGGAAATAACTTTATATTTGTATTCTATTTGTAGAGATTAAGATCCTAAATTGAATCAGGATTTCAACTCGATAATTACATTTAGGGTTTGGCTATTTGTGGGTGATGGCGGGTGATAGTGGTGGGTGATGGTGGTGGTGGGTGATGGTGGGTGATGGTGGGTGATGGTGGTGGTGGGTGATGGTAGGTGATGGCAGGTGATAGTGGTGGTGATGGTGGTGGTGGGTGATGGTGGGTGATGGTGGTGGGTGATGGTGGGTGATGGTGAGTGATGGTAGTGGGTGATGGTGAGCGATGGTGGTGGGTGATGGGGGGTGATGGTGGTGGTGGGTGATGGTGGGTGATGGTGGTGGGTGATGGCGGGTGATAGTGGTGGGTGATGGTGGTGGTGGGTGATGGTGGGTGATGGTGGTGGGTGATGGTGGGTGATGGTGAGTGATGGTGTGGGTGATGGTGAGCGATGGTGGTGGGTGATGGGGGGTGATGGTGGTGGTGGGTGATGGTGGGTAGTGGTGGGTGATGGTGGGTGGTGGTGGGGGATGGTGAATGATGGTGGGTGATGGTGGCTAAGATGGTGTGGATATAAGTCGATAAAGATTATGGTAATGGTAATGACGATGATATAGATAGTGATAACAGCAGTGTTGTGGCTTAAGGATGGGTTGAAATATATATATAGTATACACTGTATATATCATCCCCGTCCCAGCTCAGCTCAGGGCTACTGCCACTCTATCATCGACCCCACGCCCAGGGGACCAAGTTTCAGTAAAAATCATAACAACAAGCTGACACACCCTGCGAGGCGCGTGTCACAACTACCACGACCAATCATCAATAATAAACCATTTTTCGACCTGGTCCTCGATACCCGTCAAAAAAAAACTGGACAGAGAAAAAAAAAATTCACCAGACTCCATTATCCTGCCAGGCGTCTCAGTCACTCGGGAGATTGTGTGTGGCTACCGGCATGATGCTGGTCATGATTCTTGGGCTATGTAATGTAGGTATGAGCACACAAACACACCCGCACAATATGTCGTCAAAGATTTAATAGACATATAAGCATTTCCTAATCCCATTGGTGTCTCCTGGAAACACTGCATTATTGGTCTTCATCACCTGTAGCAAAACTCATGAAAAACAGGTATGATATTTATACACAGTGTTGCTTGCATTAAATAGATGGAACTTATGAACATTTAGTACGGTGATTATGTCGGTTTTTTTTTTTTTTACATGGAACGATAGAAATATATCAATTTCCGAGGCAGGTTCGATTTTCTGTCACAAGAGAGATGTATATTTCAAAGCAAGTTCAATTTCCTGTCACTAAATTCACGTAAATATCAAAACGGATTTGTTTTTTGTTTTTTTCAACAAGCGATAAAAATTTCAATATAAATTCAGGTTTGTGTCGAAAAAAACATAGATGTCAGTTACAGAAGGGATCCGGTTTTCAGGCTGGAGGGAGATGCATGTTTCAAAGAATATTCCATTTTCTGTCAATAAGAAAAGAAATATCAAAATCGAATCCACTTTCTGTCAATTCCGAAATGTCTAAATTTCTGTCAAGAGAGAGATGGAAATTTTTAAGTAAGTTTACATTTTTATCAGTTTTTATCCGTCAAATAGGCTTTAACCCCTTGAGTAAGGTGACTTAACCCCCTGAGTACGATACTTTAACCTCTTGAGTATGATGAGTCAACCCCTTGTGTACGATGATTTAACTTCTTGAGTACGAGGATTTTACCCTCTGAGTACGATGCTTTACACCCTTGAGTAAAGTGACTTAACCCCTTGAGTACGATAATTTAGCCCTCTGAGTACAAGTTCATTCTACTCAAGAATCTTAAAAAAAAAATCTGACTGCATTACGTCCACCTGGTATACAAGAATAAAATTACAGGTGCGAGAGATTACCTTCAGCACGTTTAATGAGTCAATCTCAACCTGTCTACCTGTCCACCTGTCCCTCAATCCATTTCTCCCCTCCTTTTAAACAGTTTATGCCTGTCTGTTAAATGAGTTCTGCCCGTCAGATAAATTATGTATGTCTGTTGAATTATTTATGGCCGTCAGAGTATCCGTGACTGTCCACTAAATCTGAATTAATGTGTATTCAGTTTACGTTAGCTCGTCTGTTGGATTGATTTTGGAATGTTATCCTTGTTATCTGATTTTTGCCTGTCTAAAAATTATCTACTTCTGTCTGTTGGATAATTGATGTAGGCTTGTTATCCTTGTTATCTGATTTTTGCCTGTCTATTAATTATCTACTTCCGTCTGTCGAATAATTTATGTCTATCTGTTTAATTGTCTACATATGTACTGTATATACCTGTCTATGATAATTAATACTGTTATCTGTCTAGCATTTCTCTTTTCGTTACATAACTCCTGTCTGTCTCATAATTCTTGTCACATAAATAATTTCTCACTATTTCTGTCACAGTATTTCTCCCTATCTCTCGGATACTTCTCACCTGTCCATTTAATAATTCTAATCCATAATTGATTAGTCTCTACCTTACCTATCTCCTACCTTAATTATTCTTACCTGACATCGTAATGATTATCAATTTATTCTACTCATTCATCTACCTCCCTATTTCATGATTGATTTTATTCTTATATATGTCTAAATAATCAGTAGTTTTCTTCACCTTTCGCTCTTTTTTTTTTGTTTAGGTGTTTTCATTTTATTTCATTTATTGTTTTGTTTTTGTTTGTATTTTTCTTCCCTATTGTTATCTGGAGAAGATGTAAGCCAATGAGGGTGTTGTTTACATTTGTCAAGCCAATCAACGGGCTTAGAATCTAATGCGTTAGGGATTTCTTCATTTTAGGAACCTATCACAAACGCTCCATTTAGGGGACGTCATGGATTTTGTCATTCTCGGGTTAGATCAATCCAATCAGGAAGCTCTATTATAATGATGTCATTGATTTAGTTAATTCTTGGATCTTATCAGAACAGTCAGTAAGAGACATCACCAGCCTCCTGAAATTCATTTATCCAATCAGAAAACTTTCTACAAGATGACTTATCACTTAAGAATTTCAAAGTAATATTGTGCTGCTGTTTCCTGTCTCTCTCTCTCTCTCTCTCTCTCTCTCACCAAACGCCACTGTTCAAGCAAGTTCATCAAGTATTTAGTGAACACGCTCTCTCACTCTCCCTGTGAATGAGGGAGAGTGTAGCTGCCTCACATAATTCCCTGAACAATTATCTCTCTCTCTCTCTCTCTCTCTCTCTCTCTCTCTCTCTCTCCCTATGTATATATCTATTCTCTATGATTTAATACAAGTAAACAAATTTAACATCACAGAAAAAAAAAAAAAATAATTTAACACATTTTCAATCCGATAAATTATATTTTTATGTCATATCCGATTTCAATAATGGAAAAAAAAGACACGAATCACTGTAAGCAGAACCTCAATGGCTAATATATTCTAAGAGCATGACAATGTTGTTTTATTATAGGCACCTATTGTGAAAATTCCATTGATTATCGTAAGCAAAAAAAAATGCAAAAAATATGAAAAATTAAGAAATAATGTTGTTTTTCCCTGTAATGAAGAAAAGTGTGGATTGAAGAGAATTATTATTATTATTATTATTATATTATTAGTGTTATTATGATGTTATTATTATTATTATTATTATTATTATTATTATTATTAGTAGTAGTAGTAGTAGTATTGATGTTAATGTTGTTGATGTTGTTGTTGTTGTTGTTGTTTTTGTTGATGTTGTTGTTACCTTAACCTAACCTTGAAAATTAAACCCATTATACATCCACCTATCAGAGCCTTCACTGACCTTCATATAATTCACTATAACAGTCTTCTTCATTAAAAAGACTATGAGAGTATTAATCACTTAATTATCGTCTCTGATGATAAAAGACCTAATTACTAACTCGTTAAAAACAAATTAGGAAAAGAGGTAGGGGAGTAAATTGTGAGAGAGAGAGAGAGAGAGAGAGAGAGAGAGAGAGAGAGAGAGAGAGAGAGAGAGAGAGAGAGAGAGAGAATGGCGGGGATAAATTGAAGGAGAGTGAGAGGGGGGAGTGAATTGAGAGAAAAATGAGAATTAAGTAAGGATGAGGCTAATGGAAGTAAATTGAGTGAGAGAGAGAGATAGAGAGTCAGACAGACAGACAGACACACAGACAGACAGAGAAAGACCCAATTTTCTGTGTATTATTCCTAGGATAACGTGTATCGTCTTTTGGACTCAGCTGCTGGCAACACTGTAGACACGCACACCAGAGCCACGGACAGACACGGACCACCTACTACCACCATTAGACACGGACATGACAGCCATGAACCTATCACCACAACTACTACCTTCACCACAATTTCTACCATTGCCACAGCCATCAACCACAGTGCAATTTCTACCACCACAACTATCACAATACACCCACTACCAACACCCGACTACTACCACAACTATCACAATACACCCACTACCAACACCCAACTACTACCACAACTATCACAATACACCCACTACCAACACCCGACTACCACCACAACTATCACAATACACCCACTACCAACACCCAACTACCACCACAACTATCACAATACACCCACTACCAACACCCGACTACCTACCACAACTATCACAA